CGTTCTGTCCATCTCACTTTCTACAGAGCTTACAAACTGAAAAATACAATAACCGCACGCTATCAGGCAGCTTCACTGAGGTGGTCTGTCTTAGTTTGGCTCTTTTATTTCGCTGTCTTGATATGAACTTCTCTGATGAGAGGCAGATTAATATGAAAAATGCAGAAAGGAGATCGACCTCATAACTTTCCTGGCTCTGCCAACATGGATTACGGAGAGCCGAATTTGTGTGACTAGAACTGATGGGACTGAGCCCTGACTCGAACTCCTCCAGTTGGGCCGTCTGTTTTTCATTACCCAGGAGGAGGATGTGGGAGAAATTGTGTATCGTGGTGAGAAAAGTCAAATGCTTCATCCACGCATAATCTAGTTGACATTTCAAAGCCATTATATCCTCACGTAGCTACCAAAAGTTATGTTGTGAAACAACTACTTCATCCTCTTTAAAAAAAAGTCCTTCAGTTGCTAATATTTCATTGATTGAGAAATATTATATCTATAGAACTATATATTAGCCAAAGATGAATTATATATATATATATATATATATATGTAGTATGTATGTATATATATATATATATATATATATATATATATATATACACTGTATACACACACACACACACACACACATATATATATATACATATATATATATATATATATATATATATATACATATATATATATATATATATATATTTCCTCTTTGGCTAATACTATATCTAATATATTGTATATAAGATGTAATAATTCTCAATGGAATATAAACAACTGAATTACTTAGTTGCCAATAGGTTACTAAAGTTTTGGTAGACCATGGTTAGTTAAAGTGAAAGATTAGCAATGCTATGAAGGGTTTGCTGCACTTCAAGGAGACTAAATGTAACCACTTTTCTATTTTTTGGCCTCCGTGTGGTTTCACGGCATCGCATTCCATGACCTCTGAGTCCTTTAAAAAAATTATCACATTATTGCATTCCTACACGGCCAATTTCCCAAAAGTACAGCTTAAGGCTTTTCACTTTCCTTTCCCTAACCCTGTCTTTGGGAAAGGATATGGGGGGAAAAAAATCCTAAACACCCTTTCTGCTTTTCCTTGCTTACTGCAGGTAGTTGTTTATCCCTTGTTTATCTCTCTCTCTAAGCTGGAAGATCACTCCATTTCACCACTCTAGAAATCCAATAAAACACAGGCCCAATTACGCTGTCCTCATAACTATAGCTCGCAAAACGACCTCCCTCCCTTCCAGCACATATCAGCCATGCAGAGACACCAGACAACAACAGCGAGACAGCTCATTTTCAACCACTTACATTAATATATAGTTGTAGGACCACCACTGCATGGTTGGAGGGGGAAAAATCAATGCAGAAGAGAAAGAGGTTTGCAACAGGCTGTAATAAATGTCACCTTGGACTAAATTGCAAAAGACGTTAAACATTTCAACACATTCTGTAAGTGCAACGTCACTTTGGGAGACAATAAAGTGAAAACTCTGAACGTGATATGAGCAATTTCTGTCCAGCTATTTGCCTTATGCTTTGGGTATAATTTAAAACTCCTGGATAAGGTGAAAAGGTTTTACTGTTACGCTATTTATGTTCACAATTTCAATATTCATTAAAAAAAAAAAAAAAAATGTTTTACACATATTAATTTTATTTTCTGTGCCTTAAATTGTAATTCAAGACATGAAAAAAACTGTCCTGAAAAGCAGCAGCTCATTTGCACTTAAAGGGACAGACACAAAAACGATGTGTTTTTGATCACCCTCAAAAAATGTCAATTTTAACATTTAACATGCTATATAACAATATATGTGGGGAATTTTGAGCTTAAACTTCACATACACACTCTGGTGACATCATTTGTATTACATCTTGTGAAAGGGGCATTATACCACCCTTTAAAATTAAATTTAAACTAGTTAGTTGACTCAAATTAAGTTTTATGAGTTTTTAGAACTTTCCTTTGAGTTCACAAAACTTAAATTTAACTGACACGGGACATTATTTCCCAGCATGCTTTACTCTCATTCAAAATGGAGAGTTAATGTAAATAAACAGTATTCTGCTGTTTTTGCAGTTTGATTTTAATAAATGCTCTTTTTGGACTGGGATCAGTGTTTTCATGGTACAGCGAGGTTTTATATACATTTTATAATTTGAAAAGAAAAACATTACATGATCCCATTAAACATGCAAGGAAACAGAAAGCACATTAATCATCATAGTAGTTTTCATTTGTAAAAAAGGAATTTAAAAGAAACCCAAACATCATAAATCTGTGTTGAGCACAATCATTTCTGTGCATCTGGTTTTACACAATTTAACATAGTGCACGCACACAGCACTATTAACATGTACTTTCTTTTTTTTTTTCTTTCTTTAAACGTGCAAAACTAAACAGAAACATAAAACAGTGGGTAAGAACTAACAGACAGGCACAGATGAGACGTTCAAAGACTACCACAATGGTACAACAGCAAGCTGTCATGTACAGGCCTCTGGTTTGATGGGAAATTTGGAAAAGCAGGAAGAGCTAATTACAGTCTGCTGTAACAATGTTAACGCCAGCATGTCTTTAAACGTAAGACACCCCACTGGATGCAGAATAAAAGCAAACACAAATAACTAATTATGCCATCATCATCTTCTAGCTTGTTGCTGCCGCTCATTAATTGGTGACCTGCACTATTGGTCAGTAGACAATCGGCATGATGATGAAGCCAATTAGAGACAGAGAGTACACATGCCCCACAGAGCTTGTTATGGCTGCCACATCATGTCTCATCTAAATCAAAACAAATTCTAGGGAAACGTTGGCGTGACAGCTACGTCAAGCACAGACAGTGGACATTAGAGCATGGCCAACTTTCTCCCTCTCACTAGGCCCCTACAATAGTAGTTATTGTGGAGAGGAGAGAGGCCTTACAGCAGAGTCTATTTAATCTGCTTAAGTGTCTGACAGTGGACGGGCCAGAGATATTCTTGTCTTTTTGCAGACTTTAGAAACTTTAACACTTTACAATGAGGTTCAACTTGTTAACATTAGTTTATGCGTTAGGTACCGTGATCTAAATGACACTTCTACATGATTCACTAAGTTAAGTTAACATATTGTACATATGCTAATACATTTGAACAAGTTGCTTATCAAGTTGGATAAACCTAGAATGATAAATGCTGCATACGTATTATTTATTGTTAGTTCATGATGCTTAAAAAATTTGAAAAATCATCTTTCTTCACTATATAGAGATTTTATGCAAAAACAAAAATGCGTAAATAATACTATTATATAATAATATCCAAAAAATACAATAAAATACATAAGCATGACAAGTTAGCTATTTGTGTAATTTCATGACTGAATATTATCCATGGCTCCAGAAACATAAAAAAATATATGTATATGATGCAAAGGTTTTATAGACGTATAATGTTAAATGATGTCAAGTTTGCGGAACAGCATGCTTTGTAAAATATTTTTACAACATTTCTAAAAGGTCCCAGATTACTTCAGGAAAACTTTTGGATTAGCTATTACTATATTTGGATTACTATAAACACTATTTAGTTTGGTTCCCAGATATTTTCAAAACAGTTCTCTATTTCAACAGCGTGCTGCCCACTAAGTATTAAATGCTGGAACTGCTCAATGGTTGGACTTAAAATGGGTCCACTGTGGCATTATGTTACTGTTTTATTTATCTCACATGTGGTCATCTATTCATCTCAATCACTCTCAAAACGGCATGTCCTGAAACGTCTCGTCTTATTTGAGTAGACAGGTTGCACAACACATTATTTTCCACTTTACAGTCATCTTTTCTCATTTTCCAGCCAAAAAAATATCCTCCAAACTAAAAACATGCCTGAATGAGGTTAACTCATTGCATGGTTTTCACTTTTCCTGTCACTTTAATGCTGAAGCAAAGAAAAAGTGACATTAGCGTCACTGTCGTCTAAAACACTGCATCGAATTACATGAGCATCCACGTCCATATTTGCTTCACTAACTCATGGCTCTTGGGAAGAAGAAAAGATAAAGAACTGGTTCAACCTCAAGCTAAATATTTGATGACTGTACAACTACATGAAATCAAATCTTGCTAAAGCCATTCTTTCATTAAATCTAGAGGAGAAGAGAATGGAGATGTGTTTGAGGAATACGACTCGGCCTGCCTCCTTCAAACGCAAGCCAGAGAGAGAAATAATTGTGTGTGCGATGGATAATTAAGCGATGGTGACTGTTCTGAACGTGAGCTGTCACTCCGATGGCGAGCGCTGTCACGCCGTTCGAGTCGAGGCCGATCGGACAGGCGCCGTCCACTTTGATCTGGGCTCATGCATACGGAAAGAGGTCATGTCGTGGTCATTAAAAAGACCCTCCTCTAAACAGCCAGGCGAGATTGAAAGGCCACGTCTTCAAAGAGCTGCGTGCAAGTAACCTCTTAAGAGATTCTGACAATTTGCTACGAACAAACAATGGGAGCTAAGAAGGAGTGGGATGGATTAGCTCACGGTGCCTTAGCCTTTTAAGCTCTTACAGTCATCTGCACAAAAAGGGGAGGGGTACACAAATCATTTACAGGGTCAGGGTGTTTAGTTATTCGCCTACATTTCATAATGTGAAGACACTTAACCCGCTACTGAGTTACACACTAAACCACGGGCCATTATCTGCGATACACAGTCAGTTCATCTCGGATTACATTAACTGTCTGTTGATCCTGTATGTGTTTGTCCGATTCGTCCGAATTTGTACGAGTGATTAAAAAGTGGCTAATTCATACCTCACTCGAATTCGTACAATTTGTCTAAACCCGCGTGATGGGTAGGTTTAGGGGCGGGGTCAGGGGTAGGTCATTCGTACGAATTAGCCACCTCGTAAAATTCGTATCGGTTGGTATGTGTCATATGTCTTGTTCTTTCTAGTGTATGTGTCATACGTCTCTGTCTTTCTTTCTCTTATAGCAAAGTACTGCACTTACTTGGTCATTTTTCGGCTTGACCACCTTCATGAAAGCTCCACGTGCTTCGGCCTCTGACCGCTCCCACTGGGTCACTCTCCTGGTGTCCAGGAACTTCAGATTTGTCAGCTTATGTAGTACAAAGTACCTACAGATCAAATGAAGAGAGAAAAAAAACGCATTTAAAATCATAAGAATGTTCTTTGCAATAAATCACGCTACATAAACACTCATATTGTGTCCAATGTAAAGTTTATAATACTATTTAATAGGGCTGTGCAAAAGTTAATTGCGATTAATCGCATCCAAAATAAAAGTCTGTGTTTACATAATATATTTGTGTGTGCTGTATATAATTATTTCTTATATATAAATACCTATCCATGCATGTATATATTTAAGAATTATTTGTGCTTAAATTCTGTATATATATGAAGAGTTCAGATGCAAAAGCCTCTAAATGCCATTTGAAATTTTCTTCTTTAATGATGATTTTTATCAAGCTTGTATATTTAAGTTCAGTGATTTCACTTAAATGGCAATGATAATTACCTATTAATTGTTATTTAAGTGAAATTACTGAACTTAAATATACAAGCTTGATAAAAATCATCATTAAAGAAGAAAATTTCAAATGGCATTTAGAGGCTTTTGCATCTGAACTCTTCATATATAAATACATAATCTATATTATATAAATATAAATATTGTATATATGAATAACACATTTTCTTAAATATATACATGCATGTGTATGTATTTATATATACAAAATAATTATATACAGCACACACAAATATATTATGTAAACACAGACTTTTATTTTGGATGCGATTAATCGGAATTAATTTTTGCACAGCCCTACTATTTAAATGTGCTAGCTTTGTTTTGTTTATATAAGAAAACAAATTGTTCCTCATATAATCAACTAATTGTAAATATTAAAGATAATATTTCAATTATTTGTTTTGCCTTTAGTATACAGACAAAAAAACAACTATAAAGTAGTGATTACATTTTAAAATAATGCTTATTATTATTTTTATTTAATCGGAAAGAAATGGGTCTGTACACATGCATATATAGCTGCTTTTACATTTTAGGAAGAGGCTATTTCGAATCAAAAAGTTTGAACTGTTTTCTTTTTCTTCTTAAGTTTGACTATCCATATCCAGCGCAATGTCAATACCGCAAGTGTACAGCAGATTTAAATGAAGGGAAGTCTGATTCAAATCTGCAAGGCAACCACACCAAAAATAAAACTTAAACGAACATTTCCTTCAGAATGCATTAAATTAACTGTAGCAATATTTGTAAATAGGTAATTAACTTCAAAATACGTAAAAAAATAAGGACAACATATAAACAGATAAAAAGCCCACATTGACAGAATCTGCCAAGCTGTCATTTCGGTAGCTTCACAGATATCTCTTTACGCTTTCACACACTCTCTGTCTTTCATTCAGGGAGAGAAAATGACGTGAGATAATAGCGGGAATACATAGATGACAACAGATTCTTTCACAGGCTGACTCGAATGGAGGAAGAGGCATGTCAAGACTTCAAACAGAGAGTGAGATAGAAAGAGAGAGAGAGAGAGACAGACAGACAGAGAGAGAGAGACAGACTGAGAGAGAGAGTGAGACAAACAGAGAGAGAGAGACACTAAGTGGAGGGTGTGAACAGATGTGTATATGGGCAGTGACAGATTCCCAACCGAGCTCTCATGCAAAAGCCAGCCACAAACCCATGATGATGACAATGATGAAGGGCGAAGGCGAACCCATGCTAGGTGTTTATTCCTGATGGATCACAGAGAGCACGATTGCAGATTGATTCTATTAAGATATGTCTGAATCAAAAACGTGTGTGGATAGTATTTTTGCAAATTCAAATTTACAATACAGCGATCTATTTTTTTTGAGGGGGGGCATTAACACCGTAACCCAGTGTTAGGGTTAACTTTCATGGCTCCCATAATATTCTGTTGTATGCATATCTGAACATGCAATATATAAAAGATGAGAGAACAGAGCCTCTGCTTTAAAAAAAATGAATTAATTAAAAATTATGAAAAAGTGTTATACTAGCTCCAATCATTACTTTGTTTAAATTTTCATAAAAAAAAAAAAAAAACATTTTGAAGAAAAAGCAATGTGGTGAGGTTTTTTTTTTTTTACAGACTACAACATGCAGCAATGCTTGTATTGCTTGCTTCTGGTTATTTTTTCCTGATCTGGAGATTCTCTTCTTTTTTTAATTTTTACATTTTAATTTAAATAACTTAAATTTTTACCCGAAACTTAATTTAGACCCTGGGGCCAGTTGTTCAAAAGTAAGCTGATCAGATGTTGGTTATCGGATTGGATCAAATCTTCAAAATGGGTTGTTCAAAAGGGAAAGAAGGAATCAGAAATCAGATTAGATTAAGGAATCCAATCCTAGTTTTAATCTGGATCAAACCTTCAGTTTGTGTTGTTCAAAATTTGTCAGTGGGATTGATAAAAAAAAACAAACAAACAAACAAAAAAACAAACGAGATTATCCTGATCCCAACAAGGGGCAGGATTTCAAGGAGGATTTCAGGAAGAAAATGTAGTAAAACTTTAAATTTGGTCAAATAATACATTTGCATCATTTAGTGTATATTCTTTTATTTATATTTTGCACTTGACTTGTGTAACCGTTGTAAAAGTGATAGACATAGGCTAACAATGAAGCTATTCAGTATAGTAAAGATAGTAAAAATAAAATAAAAATTATCTTGTCCCCATTTGTGTTTTGTCTCAAAATAAGAAACACTTACAGTGAGCCCATGTTGGCTCTTCTACCTGTTCTTTACATAGCTGGTAGCCCAACAATTGTGATATGTTGTCCCATTAAGAACATTGGTAATCCGGATTTGGTAATCTTGAAAACTGTCTATCTGGATCAGGGTGATCCAGTCCAATGTTGCTTTGAAAAACCGGCATAAAAGTAAGACGGATTACCTGATCCTGGATAGGAAAAAATGGGATTTTCCAAATCCGGATCATTTTGATCCAGATTAAATGTTTTGAAAAACTGGCCCCTGGTTCCTGCGGTGTAAACACACCGAGTACCACCCCAAAGTTCCTAGTTCCTGCGGTGAGTAAACGCGGCTTAAAATACTGTACCTTTTCACCACTAGATGGGAGAAATTTCTACACATTGTCCCTTTAAGACTATTCTGTTTGTTTAAATCCATAACTCCAAGTGCAACAGAACAGTTATACTAGCCTTAGCAAAACAACTAATAACTTTAAGTAACAAATTCCTCTAGAGTGACTAGGAGCAATGTGGTGTTGGTATGCTTTATTTACTGTTGTGATTCAATTACAAACAAGCGTAATAACAGCGACTGTTAGCGGGAGCTATGCAGGTGTTTTCCTGATGATTGTTTGTGCTGATCTAACAGATGGCTGGAGGAGCTCTGCAGCAAGTGTTGTTTAAAGCACCCCAGGCAAAACTAGCCCTAAACTTTCTGATCTGCAGCACACACACAGATATTTAAGCCCACACACACGTCATAATGTCAAGAGACAAACATGCAATCACAGACAGCATGGGCTGCAGAGCATTCCAGAGAGACAGGACATACATCCTTTACCGCAGATGGCTGTCGCTGTGTCGAGGACTGAACTACTGTACTTTAGCTAAAGGGAGCGAAAGAAAAAACTCCTCAAGACCCAGAAGTAAACAATGATGAATGAGCCGAGCGACTGCTGTAAAATACAGCCGAGTGTACTCGTGCCTGTTCGTTTCATTTGACTAATTGAAAGAGCGCAAAGAGGCGTGCCATATTTCACCGTGTTATGAAGAGGTATTTTATTTTTTGTTCTCAGGACGCAGTCTGAGAAGTGCATAGCCCAAGGCCAGTCCTGCCATGACCTGAGTGCTCGGCTAACCCTGTCAGACATAAAATCTGCATTATGCTCAAATTGATGTATTACTATGTGACACATTATGAATATTACATCACAAACACACAGCTGCTGTCAGTCAGGGAAAGAATAGTCGTCCTCCGCACCAAGTGAAGCATGGGAGACATTGCGCGAGAGTGGCGCCTATTGGGTTCATCTGTATAGTAAATGATTCATACTGAACAGTGTCGAGAAAAAGGCACTTAGGTCTAAGGTAGACAAAAGAATGCGTTTCTCCCCACCGCTAGGTTTCATGTTGAAAACCTGACAAATGGTGGTAACATAGCGTGGCATTGCACTCCCATAGGCCTGGGCTTGATAATGAATGCATCGTTTCCTCTTGTAGGAAAGGATAGCAAACACTCATTTGTGGTTATCACAATTCACACCTGAAATCGATTTTGCAAGTCAACAAAAAGGGGGGGCTTTAAGAAGAGTGTGGTTATAGCCTAAAGTATCAGTCTTTGCTTGTGCAATGTGATTTATGGTGTAGTGCAACAGCCGTTCATCCAAATAAAAGATTACTGGAAGTTGCCAAACTACACACTCCTGGGGAATTTCTAGAAAGAAATAAGAAATAAAAAGCATACCAGCAAAACAAAATAAATTCTTGAGTGCCTAAAAAAACATATTTTTGCTTCAGGATATCATAAATTTCATATACAGTGAGGCCACTAGTTAAAATCTTAAAAGAAGGGAGAAAAAAAACCTTTACAAAAAAATTATTACCCAACCCCAAAACTTTTAACGCGTGTGTGTGATCTTGTGGGGAAATTTTGGTCCCCATGAGGAAAACAGATTATAAATCATATTAAACTAAGTTTTTTACTAAATGTAAAAATACAAAAAAGTTTTCTGTGAGGGTTGTGTTTAGGAAAGTTTTCTATTGCATTAAGTTTTAAAATGCAATTTATTCCTGAGATGACAAAGCTGAATTTTCAGCATCATTACTCCAGTCTTCAGTGTCACATGATCCTTCCTGCATTCTAGTATGCTGGATTGGTGCTCAGACACATTTCTTATTATTCTAAAATGTTGAAAACAATAGAAAGTTTAAAATAATAGTTATAAAATTATAAATATCTTTACTGTCACTTTTGATTAATTGTATGGTTCCTTGCATAAAAGTGTTAATTTCTATCAAAAAACTTTTGAACAGTAGTGTATGTAGTGTACAATCTGAAATATTCCTAATTTATTTGCCACAAGACTTTTTTTTTTTTTTCAATTTTCCAAGTTTATAATCCCAAATGTTCAACGTGGTGTCATACCTTTTGCATACTTCTGTATAGTAGTTATTAAAAGACAAAAATGACTGTGCATGTTCATCAGTATGGCGGCGTACTGACCTGTATCTCTGATAGTCGTCTTCATCTTTATCCATGCTGACCAGCTGGTTGGGACAGGCCTCATTTCCCAAAAGGCTCAGGTATTCCAGGGCTGGCGTCACTTCCACCAAATGCTCCAGCAGGGCCTCGATGTCGGTGAAGTGTCCACGGGGGGCAGAGGTCAAGGAATCCAGGCTGTTAATTACATTAGCATTTACTCTGCGCTCTACCCTGGCCTAGCCAGCCAGCACAGCTCTGTCAAATTTACCGACACTCTTTGAAGGAGCTCAATAGGCATTATGCTCGAGGACACAAAGAGCGGGCAAATTTAAGGGCGAGATTTTGGCATTTGCTGCGAGTTTGGCGGTTCTCTTCCCCCGTTCCTCTTCCCATTTCCTGGGTGGCTGGGTGCAGAACATTAAAAACATTGACAAAATGATGGATGCCTTGTGGTAAAAACAGTTAGTGACTCCCTTAGCCATGGACACCCCCTCCCCTTCACCCAGCACAGGGAAACAAACAGCCACTTCACAGCAAATTCATCACTAATACATTCAGTTCATTGGAAAATGGTGCCCGAAACGTGTCAAAATACAACCACACTAATGCAGCACTTGAATTTCAATGGCAGCAGGCCACTACAGGATGTAAATAATTGGCCCATTAGCATGTGCAGACCACTTCATAGCAGAATTTGGGTCTGAGCTGCTGACACTCTGTCGGAGGAGAGCTGTTTGGAGAACAGAGGGTGAGGCTGCGTCATTATTATGTAGATGGATAGCATCCAGCGACAAACAGCAGAGCATAAATTTTCGTCAGGCTAGCACATTTACTTTTGCCATTTATTTCTCTTTGCATCTCATCACACAAACTAAATGTAATGTGTCGTAGTGATGTAATTGCGGACTGTCAACAGCCGGAAATGTGAAATTTCCAGTTGGGCTTCAAACTGGATTTACTTTTGCCGTGTAGTAGCTGGTACATTACTCTGTTAGCTTACTGAGTTCAAATGTTGGCCATTGCGTTGCTCTGCTTTATGGTCACGTGACTTTACGCCTATGCGCTGTATCTATGATATGGGTCATCATGATATGATCTGTTCCTTAGAAAAAGGTCTAATGGGGCTTTATCTTTCAGTCATGGGTCTGTATTGGATATTTTGTTTTTGCTCTTCTCCACTAGAGGTCACCCTGGCACAAACTCAAGTGAGTTTATCAAGCAACCCCATTAGACAAGAGCTCAATTTAACACAATAACATCATTTAAAGAGATAATGTGTGGCACAAGGAGACGGAAACTCACCGCAATCCTGTCATTTTGCTCAAGCATGAACTGAAGAGCAAAGCTCGAGAAAGGATATTTGGTTCTTATTGAGCGTTAGGGTATGGAGCCGTGGTAACCTGGGCAACCGGAGGTCATTTCCGAGAAGATTGTTGTCCACAATCAGCTCTTCCAGTTGGCTGAACGCTTTCAGGCCTGTCAGTGACCTGCAATGATAAGGCAAGAGAGGAAAAATGATATGGCCCTAAATCTGGGCAGCCATTATGTGCAGAAATAAATATTTCAGGCTGGCCCATTCACAGGCCGGAATAGTTTGGGCTTGGGACTGTCAGGAGAGTGAATGATAAGAATTAGTGGCGCTAAGATCCCCTGGCATAGTGCGGCATCCTTCACACGCTGGCAGCGTGAGTGATGAGGGTCACTCGTGAGTAGCCAGGATTCAAAACAAAAGGGCTTCAGAAATGCAGTGTGCGGGATGAATTTGTCAATGTCTTGTGCCTTCAGGCACCCAGCTTTGCCTGACCCTAACCCTCCATTCCCAAGATAAATAACTCTGTCACAGTTCACCTTCACTCCCCCAACACAAATTTAACTCGTCATCCATCATTTTCCCAGCTCAACTATAATGCCTAGCCACAAACGGAATGAGTACAACTTCTGCAACTTCTCAGATGAGCCGCTTACACTTAAAAACAACTGCTTTTAGGGGGGAAAAGTTGGACGCTTCTCCCTTTATTCCCCCTAATCCCCACAGACGCGCACGCACACAGTCCCCAAGGACTTTCTCTCTGTCTGGGTCTTTTCCCCGCCCTGTCCTGGCACAAACATGATGGAGGGTGGTGCTCAGGGTAATGTCGGGGCCTTGCAAAGTTCATCACGCGGATGGTGCATAAAAGCCGGGGTGTGTGTTTCTAATCCCTCAAATGGCAGAGGCTGACAACCTACACTGTTAATGTGTCCACCCTTAGTTAATTGACATTTACGTCTGTCAGCGTCCTTGAACAAAGAACAATTAGATGGCAACATGATATTAGTTTTTGGCGCTCTTATGGGCCGAAACGAAAAAAATAACACCCACCCGCATATCATAATCTTATGAATTTGTTGTCGTGAGACTTTTCGTGGTACAGTTGCGTGGAAAATCCCATGGCAGTTAATGTTGATACCTAGCCAGGTGTCTCTCTGTCTTTGGATGACACCCAAATATTGAAAAACCGCCCTGCCAATTAGTCTCATAAAACTCTGTTGTGTTATGCAAATACCTCACTCTTATCTTGTAGAACATGGCCGATGAAATGTTATGGGCATTAGAAGAGACGGAAAGCAAACATATAAGCAGAGAGCCAAGAACTCGCTCTATTTGTGTAGTCAAAACTCCACGCATACAGAGAAATGTCCCTGCTCGATGTTCTGCGAGCCCCCTCCACCTGTTTGCCTCAGCTGTATCTGGGCGGTTGTAATGTTATTAGCCGCTTAGTTAAGAGGCATCCGCGCGTCACAGGGGGGTTGCTTATTAATTGTTGTTTTCGTGTCACTACCGCTGTGTGCAAAAGGTGATTTAATCAGTTAAATTCACAGCCAAGGGAGCGGCCAAATCACATTCACAACAACAAACAGGGATTCAACCCCACATTGTGCCTAAACGTTTGTGCTGCCGTTTTATACAACATCTGTACAGTGCAGACGGGGAAAACTTACTTTCAAAATATAACTGAATGATTAATTGCCACACGCTCTCAAAAGAACGGCTCGCCAAAAATGAACATTGTGTTATTTACACACTTCCTATGGAAACCCAATTCTGCCTTATAAATAATAGGTGATAATAGGAAAATGGGAAAAGGTCAACAATTTTGGCTACACTTTATTTTAAGTTGATGTAGTTACACTGTACTTACTCATATGAGTACTAAGTAATAATAACTAACTACATGTACTTACTAGAGATAGTTACTTGCAATTAGGGTTGGGTATCGTTTGAATTTGAACCATTCTGATTCCGATTCCGATTCCTTGTTTCGATTCCGGTTCCTAACGATTCTCGATTCCGATTCTTTTAAGAGGCAGGGTCAAAAAAGTTTAGCTAACCTTGCTAACCAACGGCCTTTCTGAAGGAAATACTCCTTTCTGAAGGAAATACTCCTTCTGTAAAAATACTCCTTTTGTCACAAATTTTGCATTTTGCCGAGATTTCTTTATTTTTAGAAAAGTGAAGCCACACTTTGGACCGCCGACGTAAGCTACTCATGTTCGACTCGCGTGGTTATGCCAACACTTCCGGTAGATGCTTCTTCGTTGGTGTTGTTCAGCGGTTTCTTCTTCCGCTCGCCGGACTGTGAATATCGAAACTAGGAATCGAAATTCTAACTTTTGAACGATTCCGGGAAAAACGAAAAGTTAGTCTCGGTTCCAATCGAGACTCGATTCTCGATACCCAACCCTACTTGCAATTATATATAATTTGCTGTTATTATTATAGTAAATAAATGTAGTAACATGCAACTACGTCAAATAGTGTTACCATAATATATACATTTTTTTATTAACTCTGAGGCAGAAACAGCTTCAATACATTTCAAACCCGATATCCTATTTTGTCCATGATTGACCACAGAAGAATCTTCATGCATTACAGTTTATAGTTCATATTTTATTGATAAAAGTGTGCTATAATACAAGACTAAAGGCCTGTTCACACCAAGGATGATAACTATAAAGTGAATGATAAAAATCGTTCACAATATTAAAGAATAGCAGAGTTCACACCATAGCTATGATGATAACGGCAGAGAGATGATATCATTGGAATCACTTTTTAAACGATTTTATCCATCTGATGAACGACTGACAGCCAATCAGAATCAATCCTGCTATAAAGAGCTTGGGTGACAGACAAGCATGCGCTTAAAATGCTAATACAGTTATATTTATAGTAATCGTTCTTGGTGTGAACGGGCCTTAAAACTTGGTGTTTGTTTATGGATACACATTACTGGTGTCTTCGTTACAGTGTAACTCAACATTTAACTACTAAGTAATGTTAACAAGATTTTCTAGGTTTAAGGTTAGTTGGACATAATTATGCATGATGTACTGTTATTACAAAAGTAAGTACATGTCACATATGAAAAGAGGACAACATGAAGTTAACGCATTACCTAATTACCTGTTACCTTATTCATAGATAATCTTGCATTCTGCAAAATTTGGCTACGTCACACTTCAAAATTCTTTGAATATACTGTATGAATCGTATAGACATTGTACAGAGGATGCATTGTATTGTATAGATGATACTTTATGACAGTAAGAAAAAATAATTCCTTAGTCACTTTGATCTGTCCTCCACAGAATAAAACAACAACTTGAGGGTGAGTATATCTTGTGAAAACCAAAATAATATCAATACACAAGCAATCTAAAACTCAATCGCACACAAAACACTCTCAGGTAGGAACTTCTCTGACTCACACCTCGTCCCCATGGGGAATCCAAAACTGACTGCACATTTTCACCACCATCTTCAAAGTCACACCACAATGAAAGAATAGCACAATGCAGAGAGCGCCGTCTGATCTAAGGCGAGAAGGAGAGAGAGATGGACGGGAAGACACGAGAGTGGGAAAGAGAGATAGATTTAACGAGCCACACCAATGAACCCACTCCTCGTTAAGATAATTATGATCAAGCTCATTGTCACAGTGAATATCTCAACGTGTTTGCCAGTGCAGCGTGTCTGGCTGTATCTTGCCTGAGTTAGCAAATGGCTCGCACACCCAGCTGCTAAACAACTGCTGCTGGAAAAACACATGATTACACATTACAAATAAGGTGACCAAATGATCATGATACAAATTTAGGACAGATCAGAGATGGCTTGATGAACAATGCACACATTACAATGTGTCAGTGACTCCTTTTTAATCTGCCATTGATTGATTTACAATAATACTATTATTCAGGATAAATCTGATCTGATAAATCTGATAAATTCTTGGATAAATCTGATCTTTGGACACATTAATCGCATCACTTGGACAATTGAACGACAGCCAGGGTCCAAAATTGAAACTCGCCAAGCGCCATGTGTGCTAGTGAGTAAATTAAATTTAATTAGTGAGAAAATTTATAAGGAACCAAAGCCTAATACTTAGTTTGAGACAAACTGTAGGAATGATGATCAAGCCTGCATAGGCTTAATTTGCAGGTGGGACGGGTGGGACATGTCCCCCCACCACTTCTGAAACATCTCGCGGCACAGATGTAAATAATACAAATAAATAAAAAATCTCACACAGCCGCACACAGTCTTCACAAGGACGCGTACTTTAATACGCTGTGAAGACTATATTCGTTCCGGTGAAATGCACACAAACGTGTCCCTGCTTTAGGGATGGGCAACGATTAATCGCGATTAATCGCATCCAAAATAAAAGTTTGTGTTTACATAATATATGTGTGTGTAGTGTGTATAATTAATTTGTATATATAAATACCCACACATGCATGTATATATTTAAGAAATATGTGCATGTGTATATTTTATATACATTTATTCACAATTAATATTATATATAAATATAAATATTTGATATATTAATAACACATTTTTCTTAAATATATACATGCATGTGTGGGTATTTATTTATATAAATTAATTATATACATTACACACACATATATTATGTAAACACAAACTTTTATTTTGGATGCGATTAATCGCGATTAATCGTTGCCCATCCCTATGCTTGATATACAACCACTGATAAACACAATTGGTTTTAATGAGGAAAAAAAAAAAACTATACGAGTCCTGATTAAAACCCAAAAGTTCTGCCACTAAATCATTAAAGTGGATATGTATCATCGTCAGATTTATGTATTTCTTCACATGAAAATTCTCGCCACCAACACATATTTGATCTCACTGAACGACAAATTGAACACAATATACTACTTAAATCGATTGCTGGACATCGGTATGTTATTGTATAGGTGGGCATCTGATTTATGTTACCCCCCTCCAACATACCTGTACCACCCACTTTTTAAGGTAAAGTTACGCCACCGCAAGCCTGTGATGGATTTTACCTCTAACATCTAACCTTACTTCTCCTTTAGGCCTGACATTCATTCGAACACTTAGACAAATACTCTGCAGATTGTGGAAAATTCTGAGATGCTGGCTAGACAATATCAAAAATAT